GGTGGTGATGTGTTGGCAGGTTTTGCATTTCTTGTCATGGCACGGTCTGGATCCTTTTGGTGTGTTCTGGGCTCGAGGAAGTTTACTTCTGGTGATAAGATTGGCAAGGTTCGGTGCTTGTTTAAAGGCTAGGATGGGTGGCTCTGGGAAGATCTTTTTAAGAATAGGGTCTCTGTCTAGTATGGGTTGCAATTTTTTGAGGATTTTCCATACAGGTTCAAGGGAGGAGTGATACGTCTGTCGCAGAGCACTGAGGTGCCCTGATCCTAGAGGGCAGAAACTGCTAGAGAAAGAGCTCTAGCAGGGAATAAGGAGCACAGCTGTGGGTTGCCAGGGCAACGGGAGTCAGCAAACAACCCGCACCTGCCAGCAGTCAGCTGGCTGTAAGGGGCAAGGCCTGGCTCTTATAAAGCCCAGGGGCTGAGGCCAGAGGCAGTTCCCTACCAGCAGCCAGAAAGAGAGGAGCTCCTGGAGCAATGATGCGGGGAGAAGCCTGATGGGAGGTACTGCTAGCAGGGTAAAGGGGAGCAGCTCCAAGATGCCCGAGCAATGTTGTTACAGCCAGGTGGCTTAGGTTTCAGTTATAGCCAGGAGACTTGAGTTTGTGTTGTTGTTACACCGGTGGTTTGGGTGAGGCTATAGGGGTTGGAGGAGGCCTCATAGGGGACCCACAGTAGCCTGGGGATCCCAGCGCCAGTAGGGGCGCAGCTTACAGGGTGCTTAGACCCCAGTGAGGGGTGTTTGAGAAGTCCCAGGGAGGGTGTGGCGAGCCCCAGAGAGGGGGGCACTATTGGGAAGCCCTAGTACGGGTGTGGTGAGCCCCAGAGAAGGGGATGGCTTACCAGCGAGCCCCAGAGAAGGGCTGTTAGACTGAGAAGCCCAGTGCGGGCGTGGCGAGCACCAGGAGGGGCACTACTGAGAAGCCCCAGGGCGGGTGCGGCAAGCCCCAGAAAGGGGGCATTATTGAGAAGCCCCGAGAGTGGGCGACGGTACAGAGAAGGCCCCGAGAGAGGGCACGGAGAGCCCCAGGAGGGGGCGGCAGTGTATGTAGAGAGAGAGAGAGAGACCGAACAACGTCTATCCCAACTGTGAGGCGTGGTATAAGGGGTGATTGGAGCCATGCATAGCCCTTAAGGCTAGGGTGCCCCTA